TATTAGATATCGACTGATTAAAAAATGCAAAGGCCATAATGACAATTGAATAATGATCATGAAAATTGATTGACGATATTGATAATTGATGACTGTTTTACAAATACAAATAATGATGAGAACAAAACTCGATCAAAATCAAATGTTTAACCTCCCATTTTTGGTTGAACTGAATTCCATTGTCCAGGATGTTGCTGATCTTGTTTTATTTCAGTTATTATTTATAGACCTGATAGTATTCAGTAAAGGTTAGTTTAGTTTGATGATAATTCTCGTTCTGGTTTCATCAACACTACACTCATGATTTTCAAGCTTCGGGTAAATGCTTAAACATGACACTATTGTGTGAGTACTCTATGATATAAATATTGATAACTTCAGTCATTCCACACCACAGCGTGATGATCATCAACACCAGTGATGACAACTAACTCACTTCATCAGTCCATCTCATTCACATCAACACTTCTGACTGCTCACTAGAACTTCAGCACTAGATGTCGGTTTTCACATCAGTTCTAAAATTAATGATATTCTTTCTTGTTTTATCATAATTATGTAGACCAGATAATGAATTCAATCTATGACATAATCTACTTTGATGAGTTGTTTTGAAAACTATTGTCTTTCTTACTGTTTGTTCAAGTTTTGTCTTAGTAGCCGATTCCCCAAAACTTCGCAGATGAATTTGATACTGAATCATGATGAATCATTATGAAGATGGTATTTATCACCATTTTCCCATACAAACATTTGCACATTCTGCCGATAAATTATCGATCAATCATGTTCATTCATTGATTAAAAAATTTTCATTTCAACCAACGAAACATCAAAGCCAAACATAAACATCAGTTAATATTCAACTATCTATCAGTCAATTATTTGTATCTTAGCCGTGAAGAAACTAGTTCACTGCCTAGATGAATAAGTAGTAACATCGTTGTGTGTGTGTGTGTTTTCTGAACTCAGTGATGTCCATTCGAAACGCACAAAGTGTATCAGTTTCTCAGAGAGTGTTCTTGAAAAAAATTGTCCTATTTTTATTGAACCGATCAGTCAGTTTGTTAATAATCAGCTTTGTTAGTTGGATTTGTGAAAAATAAATTATGATTATTCAAATGTGGCTCAATCATGTTAGAATTAAGACTATGACTATCACTGTCATTGTTTGATTATTGTTTAAGGCACATCTCCTAGAGTTAAATTTTTGTAATTTTCAAAGTCAAGTTAAATACAACTAATGCAACCAAATTATATATTGTCTATTTCATACAACCGACTTTTGTATTTAAATGTGATTTTATATTCAAAATAATATATCACCATTAATAATGAGAAGAAGTATAAGTGATATAAATTGAAAGATCCTCCGATCTAACACAGTATGCATCAAGATGTGGAAACCTTTACATACACAGGTAGCATTATTGTTAAACAAGATGGATCTGATATCGATGTAAAGACAGGGATCAGAAAAGCAAGGACCATATTCATACAGTTGAAGAACATTCACAACTCAAAACAACTGTCAACCCACACTAAAGTCAGAATTTCCAATTTGAAGGTTAAGACTATGATACTTTGTATGGTGCAGAAACTTGCGGAACCACGAAAGTTATCATCCAGAAGACACAAGTGTTTAATAACATGTTTCTACGCACTACAACATTAGCAACGACCTATTGTGAGATAGAACAAACCAAATTGTAGCTGAGGAAGAAACTAGAAAGGAGAGACAGAGGGAGATAGGACACATTGTGAACAGCACCCTGCTACATCACAAAACACGCTTTAACTTGGATTCCTCAAGGCCTAAGTAAGAGAGAAAGACCAAAGAAGTCAATGCACTAAGAACTGTAAGCAGATACCGAATGAGTGAACAGTAATTGGACGGATGTCGAGAAGAAAGACCTGGGAGAGTGAATGTTGAAGAAAGCTGATCGGCGGCCAATGTTCCACTGGTGGTAATAGGCGTAAACAGGTAGGCAAGTATGTGAGTGAGTAAATATTATTAATCAGTGGTTCTTTCAGTTAATTTTAGCTTTAGAAAAAGTAATTTTTTGTTGAAAACTTATCCCAGAAAGTATTGAAAAATGAAATATTAAGGTGTTTTAATTCAGAGAACGGAAATCAACCAAATATTTTTTGATTTTCAAGAATGTTATGAAAAATTGACATGAAAATTATTTTTGATTGTTACAAATTAAGCATAGAATTTTTTTAATTCGAAAAATGAATCAATAATGTGTTTCCAAAGCTTTAACGCTAAATAAATTTGATCAGTCTACAAACAAGTACATATAAAACTTTGTCAGTAGATCAGTAGAATAGTCATTGTAACGGAATAAAAAAATTTTGTGAAATGGTAGATTATTGACAAATCAGTGGTTGTCTTATTAAAATAATTTTCAATTAGAGTTATGGAGATTAGTGATTTTACACATTGAAATCTTAACTCAATTATTGTTAGACCACCATTAGAAACCTGGAAGCACTGGACGGCCGATTCATCCTGGTATGGAACTCACCACAACTCCTGCACCTCGCAGGATTAGAACCAGGGACCTTCGACACGTTCCAATCCTGCGAGTTACAGGAGTCGTGGATGTATACTAGGACGAAACGTCTGTCCAATGCTTCCAGGTTTCTAATGTGAGTCTAACAACGGCTGATGGATGCTTTCATATGTGTAAAACAATCAGTGATTGACAATTTTATTATTCTTCTGTGAATTTTGAAATCAATCATCAAGTTTAATGATAATTTAACACAATCCAATAGGTGAATGCTCAATGTTTTGAAAGTTGAAATGACTTTATTTCAAGTCATTTTTCAATCATAAATAAAGAAAGTTCTATCGAAGTTTAAAATTCATGAATACCTCTATGAAAATATTATTCATTCTGAATTAAAACTAAAACCCTGATCAATGGCGAATAATTATATTAAATGAAGCAGTGAACATAATAACTACACTTAGTTTCTTGTTTAAACACGTTGACGCACATGAAAGTAAATCACGATTTTCTCTTACTAAGACTACAAATGTAAGCCCAGAAGAACAGAGCAGTCTATTCCTTGTAGTATGGGACTCCCCAGTAGTAAGCACAAACGACTGAACCCAGGACTTACTAGTTGGAGCGCGAATTCTTAACCTCTAGACCATTGGATATCCAATGGTTAAGTTCATCATTTAAATTATAGAAGTTCTGTAGACTTTACGAGGCTTTTTTCTTTGTAAAAATACAACTGTTTGGCATTTGCTTATCTCAATTGGCTAAACGAAATAAACCATACCTCATGTACACGAATAGAACTGAAACTCTAACCCTTTATACACACCCACACAGTCATACATACACAAAATATAAATATATTAACTAATCTTACATCCAACGTCAGTTTCATACATTTGTTGGAATACAAAGAACAGCCTCACGCTCCATCTTAACCGGTAGTCATCTCGAATCGACCAATCAAAAGGTCCCGAAATCGTGATTGGTTCAAATGATATGAACAGTGTTTTCAGATAGATATCCTTGTTTTGTCAATTGACCTCATCTAAACTTCAAATTGACAGTAGAGCGAAAGAAAAGTGGGAAAAATGTTAAACTTCGGCATCAATAAAATTCTGACAATTTGTTTACAACAAAATAAAATATCTTTAAACAAGTTCATGCATTTAATTATCGAATGTCAATTAAACAGACACTACTTTGCAAGACCTAAAACCACAATTAAAAATTAAACACCTCTTTTCTGGAGATTAATAAATATCCATACATTTCCCACACCATTTTGATGTTGTGTTGATAATGACTAGATTATTGCATAATATGGGATTTCCACTCAAATTTCTACTGTTATTATCAATAGCAGTAGTTTGCACATTAACCGTGTTTGCACATTGTCAATTAACAAATGATTTATCAACCTCATGGATGGAAGAGAGATTATTTGATCGAGCACGTTGTAAAGCCAACTGCTTGCGATTATTCAGTGATCCAGAAGAACAAAAGGCGCTTCGTGTAAGTCAGCAATATGTTATTTTGTGTTTTATTTCAAGTAAAATATTCCTACATACTATTTAACGGTATTGACAAGATGCTTGAATTGACATTTGACTTGTGGTGATAACTGTGTGTATACCTCGGTGCGAGGTTTCACAGTTAACCTTCAGTGATATGAAATGATTCAATAAAGATTAGTTTCGTCGGTATACGTTACTGACAGGGTTTTAATAAGTGACGAAGTTGACATTCAAAGTTTCGATAGGTATTGCTAATGCTTTTCTAGTCACCAAACTATCGAAAATTAATGAATCGCTTACTCTGTTTTTTGTGTATCTATGTGTCTTATCAATTTCCCAATTATTTCATACATCTCAATTACTTTGTATGATGAATTGAAGAATTTGCAGCATTCGTTATTAAAATGTTTTTGTTCAGTTAGAATTGTGTTTCAGTGCGTATTAGCTACAATTGGAATCCAGGACGTGCGTTTTGTCCTATTTGAGACTCTTCAGGAGGATACACCTGCATCTGAGTCCAGATAGTCATTCACTTGTACAATAGGGTAAAGAATAATGCACATGTATTGGTGGTTTGAATTTTCCCATGCATGTTTAGTACTGTAACTGATCAGTTACTTTGCAATAATTGAACTCATTAGGTAAGCGGCTAAAGCAATAGCGTTCGAAGTGTAAGATATTGGATTCGAGTCTCGAAGTACGTATCAATTCCGAAATGCAGGTATTCGCAGCTTGCGAGTCGCATATCGGACAAAGTGGGTTTCCTGGATTCCATTGCTGGCCACCATCCACATCTACTTATAATGCTGGTAACCTAACGAAACATCAGTGGAAGGATTTGCATTACTGATACAAGGAAATAAACTTATATTTCAGCGTATTAGACTGTCCTTTGAACCAAATCATTTATTTAAACTGTATCAATAGTTCACATTTTAAGTGAATATCATGTGTGATAATCCGGTCAATTGAAATACAACACAAGTATGGTATAAATTATTCACTTGTATGCTTCAAAACATTATTTTTTTTTTTTCATTTTTGTTTTGATAACTCATCAATTTGAATTGTAGAGTAGCAAATGTGAAAATCACAATAAAATTGGTTGTATAACTGTTGTATATAAAGTCGTTGAAGTTGATCATTCAGTGATATGTTTTCATGATATTCAATAATTCAATGAACATTATTTGATATTTAAATTTTTTTTTAAAAAAAGTATTTTTTTTTTCAATCATATGTAACAATGATTTACTGGTTGAATAATTCGATTTCGAAACAATGATAAATTACATCATTCAATGCTCATTTCACTGTCTACCTACTTCTGTTTGAGAATAACTGATTAAACTTCACATGGAGTTTCAATTAAAGTTGAATGTACTGAATACAAGATTGTATAGTTTGTTGTAATAATTCAAATGATGAATTAGTCTTGTGTGGACAAACAGTGAGCATTGAATAAATGTTTCACCATATCATGGAACACCTCAATGATGCACACACAACATACCATTTACTATCTTTTCGAGGAAGCGTTAGGTACTGCAGGTAGTGTTCAGTCTTTTTTAGATCATTAAGTCAGCATCCATTAGTTGACATATTTGACTACAATCGATTCACAATACTGTGCAACCATATTCCAATATTATACTCTTATCATTTGACCTATTTGCATCTTATTTTCCACAGCTTTTTCTCAATAGTCTTCACACATCGTTCATGATTTATTCATATTTCTACTCTACAAATGAGGCTTGAAAAAAAACTGAACCGTTATTACTGGAACAGACTTTCTAACTATGAACAAGATCTTAAATCGTACATTTTACAATAAGTTGAACTAAGAATAGTGGAAATGAGAATTACATTCAGTGATGAATAAAACAGTTTGATTATAAACAAGGCGATCCCGTATG